CCTCCACCAGTGATATGGGTATACTGGGGTTATGCTGGTATGTAAGGTGCTTTGAGTGGTCTTTGCTGGAGAATTCCACAGGAGCCCTAAGCATCACTATTGTAGCTGGCTGTGGGAAGGTGCCTGAAGGCAGCTTAAGCTCTGATCTGGCCAAACTGCTTAAATGCACACTTAACTTTAAATATCTGACTAAAGCTGCTGATGTTAATACGACTACTTGCATGCTTAAGTGCTTTGCTGAATTGGAAGTTGATGAATTCAGATGCTAGATAAACTTGGTTATGGAGGAAGCTGCAAGGATCTCAGTGTAGATTTCTGTAATTAGACATGTCTTTTTCCTGGTCCATGGAAGCCTTTTTCTCTCTTCCTGCACTTTCCTATAGTCAGTCTGCAAGCTTCATCTATTAAGTAACTTTAAAAGAACAGTTTTATTTTGAATGTAAAATGAAAAAAGACCCGGGTAATTTATTTATGTCCCCTTTGTTACATCTGCCATAAAGAGCACAGTCTCTACAATTTAAAGGTGGATTGTCTCTGGGAAATACTTTGAGAACTTTAAGAACAGGTCTTTAAGAACAGGTCATGGCAGCAACATAATTTGCAGGGAGGTCCCCTGAGCTGGTATTCATCTAAGCTCCATCCACAATACAGACTTTAGAGGACTGCAGAGGTCCTGGACTAAGCTGGCAGGGAGGCTGCTCTCTTTGGTGGACGATTACAACACAGAAGGTGGGGCACAAGCATAGCCTGGGGCTGGATCAGGGCCTAGATAATGAAACACAAAGACTGACAAATGCCCAGGGAAGTTCAGAGGGTATTTATCCAGTAATCACAAAGGCTCAGACATTCTGAAAAGCTCATGGGACTGTTCATGCTTTTTAATATTCATTTACAGGTGTGCAGGTTGCTTCATGAGATGAACAAAAATAACAATAATTCTCTGCCCCATTAAGCTTGTGGTAAGGGATGCCAGCCTAAACTTGCCACACCCTCCTCACCTTGAGGAGTAGGAGTTGAGACAAGCCTTAGGGAGTGTGCAGGAGGAGGTGAGAGCTCAAGGAGGCAAATGGAGAGAACAGGCAGAGTGGTGTTTCTGCTGTGGGGGTGGAGAGGGGGCTAGTTATCTTTTCTGGGAGTATTCAAGAGACTACTTATCCATTTAGGCAGTGGTTCGATTGTTTGCATTTATTGTCTGTACTCAGGAGCATTTTGTCAGCTCTGGAGGTTACACCCTCAGAGCAGTTCGTTTCCAGCATTACAGAGATGGGACTGAGGAGATGGGCATTTCTTTCACTTCAGTTTGCTTTGAATTGCAACCTACACAGGACCCCAATTTTATACTCCCTTTCACCAGTTTCAATCAAGAATAACTCTACTGAAGTCAGCAAAGCTGCAAAACGGACAAGAAGAGGAAATGAGAATCATTCTGTTTGCTGTGGTTTGTAATAAATGCCAGTAGCTCTCCCAGGAAACCTGTCGTGATGTGAGATGAATGTACCTTGTTTGCATTGAAACAGTGGGATCCTGGGCTCAGATGGAACTGCTCTGGGGCAGCCAGTGATAAATGAACACTGATCATTGCGCTGACTGTGGAGTCAGTGGGGGTTTTATTACTGTACATCCAACAGCAATTTGGTTAGAATTTCTGGGAGACTTTACTGCCACGAATTTTTTTCTCAGTGACAAAATGGTAAGAAAAGGTGAAAAAGGAGTGGTGGCAGGGAACAGGGGCAGGACGAATCTTCTTTCTCACCCAATCCAAATCAGAAAACTGGAAAATGAAAACAACCCAAGTAGCAAAACCCCAATAATGCTAAAACTATAGGAAAAAAATTCTCTGTAAGATTAATTATTATTTTTCTAAATTTGCACTTAGATTAATAGTTTGTGACACTCACAACTGACACATGCATGGGAGGCTGTCAGTGTAGCTAAAAACTGTGTGTGGGGCTGCCTGTGTACCTGTGTGTTGTCTGACTGTGCACGTCCGTCTCTTGATACTGCTGAGGTAGCTCTGACTGGGGTGGGCTCAGTAGTGCAGGAGGCTCAAGGAGTGTGATGAACACAACTCACTTTCCAGAAGCCTTTGCGTGGGCATCCCAATGGCAGCTCGTTGGATGGAGAGGGGGTGAGCATTGCTGGAAAAGTGGGATCCATGCTCAGGCTTATTTATTTGGACTGGAGGGGCCTGAACAAGAGGTAGCTCTTTTCTTCTAAGTGTGCACCTCATGCCTTCTGCAAAATTGCATTTTTGTCATTACTGCCACAATATTGAATGCTACCCACACACTACAGGTTTTTAGTTTCCTCTTTGTCCTTTGTCATTTTATTTCTGTGCTGTCCTTTAAAGAGGAGACCTTACTGACTGCCCTGTCTTTCTTCTGCTGAGTAATTCCACCAGGTGTCTGACAAAGATACTTCTGGAGAGCAGATATTTAGCTTTTGCAATGCCAAAAGGTATTGAGCAAAGGTACTTCTTCCCTCCCCTACTAAAGCTTTTTGATACCTCTGCAAATCATGGACCAGCAAGATGACTATGGCTCTACGCACACACATTTCACTGCTGGCACTGTCAGCAAATTGTGTTTCAAGTAGCTTCTGATCTGGCTGGGGATTGAGCTAGCTTATTTATTTGCAGGCATGACTAACATTGCAACTGGACTTAAATATGATGCCTTGTGGAGGACTGTGTGGGTTTATTTTCACTCTCATGCTGTATCCCTGGAGAGAGCATAATTCAGACTTTCCTGCTTGTAGGATATTGATTGAATATAGCAGCAGTTAAATATCCATAAGAAAACTGGCATTAATGACAAAGAATGGAAGAAAATTATATTATGTCTAGAAACAAATAAGGCTTTTAATTTTTTTTTCTCATATTCTGGCTTCATGGTCCTTCATTAAGAGAGTTTGTGGAAAAGCCCACATGTATATTTAAAAATTTTGCCTGCAACTAAGCTTTTTATCAGGCAGGAAGGATGTGAAATTGGAAGAATTGGATATTGTGACTTGTAGGCTTGAAAAGGAGTGTATGTAATTTCTAAACCCTGTTTGACAGGTATTGATGGCTGACATTCTCTAATTTGCTGTACTGGGTTTACAGAAGGCCAGCGAGAAAACTTGGAAGCTAGGTGCCAGCTGCTTGGAGTCCTGAGTGCACTTGCCTCCTTTTGAGTGAGAAAATGAGGTTGTTGCTTGTTTGTGACTCAGAACTAACCTGGGCCTGTTCACCTCGGCTGAAGAGGGGGCTTTGCTTTGCTTTGCTTTGCTTAGTCCCCAGTGTGCTGGACTGCGTTTCAGAGCCCAGTGGGGTTTCATTCCATAGTAGGTTCAGAGTAGGCTTAGGGTGCATCCCAAACCTGCCAAAGCAGCCTTGCCCCCATGTGCCATTTCCCATCATCTGTGTTGTGTCATCAGAAATCCTGAGTTCCAAAATGCTAATATAAATATATTTGGGTGGCTTTTTGTCCCCTCATATTCCCAAGTGTTAATGTTGCAAATGCTACTGTAATAAATACTATTGAGAAGGATTTGCTGAAGGATGTAAATATTCATCAGTCTTTAATGATTTGCATTTGAATCCAGAAAATTGGCTTATAACTTCTCACTGATTTTCTCTCACTCTGATTTTCACAAGGCATTAAGTGTGGGAGGATTAAATACCTGGGGTTTTCTCTGGTCCAAATGAGACTTTGCTATCGTCATTTAGAAATAAGTTCTTCATTAGCTGGTAACTCAACCTTGTGCACCATTTAATCTCTTTCAATCCTTCAAGACTTTTTGTTTCTAACAAAGAGCTTTAGGATCACTCTTGTCACTCTAGTACGAAGGAGTCACCACTCCTGGAGTATTTAATTTTCACTTTGGGAAGGCTGACGGCTGCAATGCAGAATGGGGAGACCAAAAAATGGACGTGTTGGCCCAGGCAGAGAGAGCTTTGATGTTCTTTTTATCCTGTTGTGTTTAACCTATCCAAACTTTGCAAACCACACCAAACAGTTGTACACTTTGTGGACCTTGTCACTGGTTAGGGAATCCTGTGCAGAACTGCAGGAGTAGCGTGTGCTGAACCACAGCCCCCTCTCTAGGGGTGAGCCTTGGCTCTTGTCCAGTGCTGAAGACAGGCTGTGTTGTCTCCTGCTCCTCCAGCTCGAGTAAGATAGTGTGGCTATGCTGCAGGTTCTCCCGGTGCTATTTAGCTGCATTGGCTCATGGATGGGTAGTCTGTGAAGGTTCTTGTGTATAATGGGATGGATACACTCGCTCCTCTGGAGGGCTCTTAGTTTCAGAATACAGCCCCAGTGACTGTCCCCTCTAGGAGCAGTTGGCATTAGGTGTTATCTTTTTTGCGTTCGCAGTGAGTACGTTTTACAAAAAAATATTTAGGGTCATTCTAGATTACAAATAAATTCAGTGTAGACTAACAATACAATTTTGGTAATTTCACTGTACGCTTTTAAAAGCCACTTAGGGCTTCTCCATTGGTGTAAGATACCTCATTTTTATAAGATGAGCAAGACCTGGAATAGTCAGCAAATGACACTGAAGCCTTCTGGAGAATACCCAAGGTGATGGGATGAGATTAATATGGGTAATATGGAGTCTGAATAAATGAGACACCAAGTGGCCTAAATTTAAATTTGCTACAGTAGAACTTGTTAGGATGGGGCTTTTAATAAATGATGCTCTTCTTTAGGATGGGCTGTTATTCTGTGTGTTCTGCATGTTCAATATGATATAAAAAATTATATGCCTAGTTGTAAAAATGGGTATTAGACATTTTGCTGTCAGCTATTTTAAGACTCCCTGTGATAAGCTTGCTGTCCTAGGTGTCTATATCTGCCTATTAGTCTGTTTCTCTGAGTTCCTGAGCGTATGTGTTAATTTATGGTTCTAAGATATTTGTGTAGGTGCAGGGGATGGTTTATAAAGAAAAAGCTTAGATAACAAAAAAAGTGTATGGTGTGTGCAGAAACCTTAAAAGTGTTGATATTTTCTAGGTAATTGTGAAAACAAGAACAGAGTATCAGCCTGACCAGAAGAACAAAGGAAAACTCAGAGTGCCCAAAATTGCTGAATTCACAGTCAGTTTCACTGATGGTGTAACAGAAAGACTAAAGGTAAGAAATGGTCATTCTGCTGCCTTCTAATGCAAGTGCCATTCATTGTAAAGTAACTGGATCAAAGTGACTGGAAAGGCCTAACAAATATAACACTCCACTCACCACTAAGGTCAAAGAGAGGTTTATCTGCATGGCTATAAAGCTTTTTTTTTTTTAGGATAGGCATGAAAATATCTTCATAACTAGATCTAAAGTAGGAAATGTGAAATGTTTTCCTTTTCCCAGGAAAGGTAATGAAAATATTTTCCAGGCCAAATTGAAAATAAAGCAAGTTTGAATCTTCTTCTCAAACATTTGTGTTTAAAAACACTAAGAGAAATCACAGTGAAGAATGATTGAAAGAGTTTCACGTTTTGAAAATTCTTCTATTGTCAAACAACCTTTTTAATATTGAAATTATTTTCTTAGTATATTACTGTAGATTTAAACCAATTTCAAACAGGATTAGAAGAGACTTGTTAAACTAGTATTCAAGGATATCCTGTCCTGTAAGAAATTTCGGTTTGCAGGAACTGGAAATTTCTGATGAAAAATGTTTCCCTGAGAGATTTTCAACAGACTCTACTTGAACATGGAAAGAAACTCATGAATTATTAAATGCCTTCAGTTCCTGTTGACTGCAGCATATTAGAATGGATCAGTTTCTCCTAAAAATTAGACTCCAAGCATGTAGCTGCTAGTATTTTCTTTCTTTTCATTGAGAAGATACAGTGCTTTTCCTAAACCACAGAACATGGGAGTGATAAAAATGTGAGATCTGATTTTACATTTCTGAAGTCAGAGGAAATATCAATGATTTGAGAGGAAAACATAGAGAGTAGGCAGTGCCTAGATACAGTCCTGCTCCTTGAAAAGCTAGTATTGGGCTTATAAATTTTTGTGAAAGGGTATCATCCTCCACAGTTAACAGGAATTGACTCAAGGAACTGAATAATCTTTCATTTAGCCTACTTGTCTTTAGTTTTGTGGGAAATAACTTTATTATCATTATTTCCTAATAATTTAGAATAAAACTATCACTTTTAAAATTGGAATGTGACCCAGGAAAAATTGTTCCTATCCATCCTTGATAAATTTCAAGATAAGGCTTGTTTGACTTACTGAAATGTTTAGCTTCTCTCCTCTGAAGCCTACAGAATGGCAATTATGCTGTTTTTTTCCAGAATAGTGAATACTAACATATATTTCACAATAACAATTCTGTTGCTTTCATCCAAGGTATATAAAGCCATAATTTATTCTTAAGAGGTCTGTGAATAAATGTTTATAGCTTCATTTTTGTTTGCTTGTTTTTGTTTGTTTGTTTGTTTCCAGTGGATATCACATGTTTTGATCTAAATTACTTACCAGGTCTTTACACGCTGTTGATTTTCACTGAATTCTTCACTGATCTTATTGTGTGTGTAGTACCTATCTACCACCAACAGTGACTCTCTGTTGGTACCACTAGCGCAGCAAACAGCAAATTAGCCACAGGTAAATCCCAGCCTTGGAAACCACAGCAGACATTTTCCAGTGTGAGCAATGTACAAATCAGAACCAGATACAATGTGCCTGAGAAATAACGGTAGGCGTAGAGTCTCCTGGAAGTGATGTGTTGGCTTGTCACCAACAATAAATGCCATTGCTGACATTGTAAGTAAGGCTTCTTCACTGGGTATATAAAACTTAATCCTGCAGCTCTGAACAGTGTAAGGTCACTGTAAAACCAGGTTTTAATCCCATCAAAAGAGCTGGCCTTGTTATTTAAAAGAGCAACAAAGAACATCTCATCCCTATACACTGTAACTGGAGGCCCACAGGTTAGCTGTATAGCTCATCCACTGCTATGGATAAATCTCATTTCATCCACTCCTATAGAATATTTTATTTTTCCCATTCTTCAACCACCCAAATCGCTGTAACATTTAAACCTCTTATTTCATTGTATTTTTTCCTCTCCCCATCCTGTTTTCAGTGGGATTCTCCCATTGCTCTCAGTGGGGAGAGCTGGAAGCTCCAGCTGTGGCACAGCCCTGGCAGAGGCTGAAGCTGCTGCGTGGTGGGGATGGCTGTGGGACATAGTGTGGGAGGCTGTGGGAGCTGTGCCTCTTCCTAAGCAGCCTGGCACCATGACAGTTTCATTTTTAAGCTATTTGCTTCTCCTGAAGTCCATATGATTTTCATTCTCTGCTCTTCAATGTCAACTTATTAATCACTCAGCCTCTCATCTAATACTGGATAAGACTATAAGCCTCTCCCTGCCTGCTTTTCATAAGGCTTCCATGTATCGTATTAAGTTTGTAGTATTATTTCCTGACAAAAAAGAGCTGAGATAATAGGTAATATTTCATTACCTTTTGTACTTTCTTTTATTGCACCACATTTTTATACCAGTGCATATTTTTAGAGAAGTTATTAAAAATACTGCCCTGTGGTTATAAACAGGCCTATTATCTGGTACTGATGAAATCATTTTACATTTGTTTTTTTGTAAGAGGAAATCATAGTAAATACTTAACTTTTATTATCTCAGTTTGGCTACACTTTTAAAAGCTTAAAAAAAGAGAATATAAATGAGCTCATCATATTTTCTGTTGCTGGCTGATTGCTTTGCATAGCCTTCCAGTATGTGATGTGTTGGAAATGCCATCCACAACTTCTTGCTAACATGCTGATTAAAATTAAAGTATTCATCTGTACTTGAGCTGGGCTGTGGGTAGCTCTACGCTGGCAGAAGCAAGTAAATCATCACATTGATTTTTGCAAGATAAATGATGGAGGGAAAGGCCAACAGTCCGTCCAAGAGTAGATGGTCCATTGGTTTAGTGCACTCCAGATATGTGAGAGCTGAATGGGAGGTGCACGTACAGTTACTGTGGGTCCACAGCAATGCTTTTGCTGCTACAGCTCCACTAATCTGTGTATGAGGAGCAATATGTCTCAGCACATGGTGCCTGTATTTTGGGGAAACTGGAGAGTAAGACAATGCAAAGTGAGATGTGTTGTATTTTACTTTTCACCCAAATGGTAGAATTACCATAAATACAAACAGAAATATGACAAAGTGAGTATCATTAATGAGTGTGTGTGGAAAAATGCTGCTGGACTCCATATTTATACCTGTGCTCCCCACCCACTCATAACCTCTCTAGAGGTGTTTTCAACATTTAGGTTTCAGTCTAAGAAGTGCTTTTCTTTCCTCTCAACTTCTGGTCGCTTGGTATGGGAATGTTATCAGGGCAGAAGGAAACTCTTCCCAGGTTCTGGATTTATTTTTTTTATTTTTTTTCTTCTGAGTCATATAGCTGCCTTATACATAAGAGTGGGATCTCTGGGGGAAATTTTGGGACCATATGAACATGGCAGTCAAATCCACAGATGCCCTTTATTCTGCCTTTTGGGTATCTTTTATTGAAGAGGCTAATGAATTATTAGCCAGCTTTCCTGCATGAGCAAGCCAGAGCCAGAATTTAAGCTTATGCATGCATATTTTTCATCCATCCAGAATAGCACAGATCTGAGCTCTTTAATTATCGTAAAGAAGAGACTGTCCCTAGGCAACGGTTCTTATTTCATACTACCTCTTCCAGGAATTTTAGATAGCTTCTCCAACTTGTCACATCTCCTAATAGATGAGATTATGATTCTCTATAGCTCAGCACATGGTGTCCTGGAAGTTTGACCAATTAGGCTTATTCTTCAGCTGGATGAGTCACCCCATACATACTTTATAACAAATATTTAAATAGGTGTGTGTATATGGGTTACAAAAAAATGATGTTAAAAAAGCATTAAGCCATCCATACATAAAGGAAATTTCTTTTATCGTTTTACTCCTCCACAAAGAAGCAGTGGCAACTTTTTTTTCTAAGCTGACTGGCAGTGATTTATAGACCTTGCCTCCTCCAGACTGCTTATGCCTTTGGAGTGTGTCCCTCTAGGAAGCTTCTGAACTGCAAAGATCTTGCTTTGCAGTAATGATGAATACCAAGGTTTCTTGGTCTGGAGGGGAAATGGTATCTGGTGCTTGCCTTCCATTTTGCATGCTTTGAAGGTAGCACATGTTACCACCATGCTTTGCCACGCAGTGATGACATTGAGGTGCATTAGAAAAGGTCTGCAAATGTGTTGACTCTCTAACTTTCATTGATGGACAACAAATCTAACCCTTTAGCATCTGAGGCAGGGGTGACTGCTTCTTTTTGCCAGCTATGTTACAGCTTTTAAGAACAAGCTCTCATATGTAAGTGTCATCATTCCCATGGATTCCTGCCCTTATTTCTTTCTGTTGGTACTGAAATGAGATGGAATACTCTTCTGCTTTTCAAGCAGATTATCCATTGAATGAAGTCTTGTTACTTCTGGAGGACAGGATTTCCAGTGACTCCTTTTGCCTTCAAATCACTCTAGATAACATAGAAATCAACTAGAAGCATTTATAAGGTGCAGAGTGGGTTTCTACCCACATTCTTGACTGTGACTTAGATGAAGCTTGTGTTTGAGACATCAGCAGCCTGCTGAAGAAAAAACAAGATGGAGAACGGTTGCTGATGGATTTTGTGCCAGATTCAATCAGGCCCAGTGAGTGTAGGCAGACCTGTGCTAGCCCTGAGTTTGCCCCAATTGTTCTAGCTCCAAATACCACCAGAAAAGTACGGGAGCTGTCCTTCAGTGTAGGTTTACAGCATGTAGCATCAGGCTGACACATGTAACTCCCTGTTGGTTACTGGTTTTGCACAGATTGCTGTCTATTACACAAATAAGTTCACATGCAACCAGTTTGACCTCTGTTACCACTACATGCCACAGAGCTATTCATCACTGCCTTTTCAGGGAGACAGTGATTTAATGACTGTTAGCTGGGTGACAGTTACTTACCTTAGTTATCTGACTTCTCAAATCTTCCACAGTTCCTTCCTTTTCATGGATCATTTTGTTAAAGAAGTTGAAGTTATCAGTCTTTCAGAGTTGGAACAATTAAACTATGTACTTGTCTTTGATAGAACAAGTTGGGA